CACCTCCACGCCTTTGCGTTCGGCAGCCGCGGGTCCCGGCCGGCGACCCCGCGCGTCCTGCCAGAGGATGGTCAACGACCGGTGGAAGACCGTGGGCGGCGCTGCCCAACTTGAGGACCGGCCGCGCGACAAGCCTCAGGTACCCGCGGGCCAGGGGCGTGGGGACTCCCCGGGCCCGGGCGGTGGCCGCTCTGGCTGGCGGCACGAGGGACACCCAGCCCCGGCCTGGAGTTTGGGGACCACCCCCTCGAGGCTCGGGAGGCTGGGGAAGGGCAGTCGCCCTCCTCTCGTCCCCCTCCAGAGGACGATTGAACTTGAGGTTGGGGATGGGGCGGTCCCCCTGCGGGAGGGAGGGTCCCCTTGCGCCTCCAGTAGACTCCCGTGCACGCCCGCGTCTGGGGACCTTTAGTTCACAGTGGAACTAGCCCTTTCCTTGGCCGAGTGACCTCTCGCTGAGTCTGTTTCATCACCTCTGCAATGGGCATCTTAGCCACTTACTGAGCTGTGCCCACCCCCTGCCGGGTGCCTGGCCTGGTAACCCGACTCCCCTCCCCATCTCCTCTGAACCCTCACACTTTAGTCCCCGGCCCCCTGCCACACGCTCGCAGAAAATCGATAAATATTTGCCTCCTGCAAGAATGCGGGATATGGCGATTCTCCAGCTTTGCGACAAGGGGAGCCGGGCTCGGAGAAGTTTGATCCTGCCGGAGGCCACACAGCTCTGCCGGGATTTGAACCTGGGCCTGTGGGCTCCAGGTGGTTCATTCCACCCTTCCCACCGCCTCTTCAGGAGCAGTGGAAGTGGGCAGGCCTGGGGGGTGCCAAGGGCTGAGCACCAGGAGAGGGTGAGCGAGGGCAGAGCTCCAGGGCTGGCCAGAGAGGGGACCGGAGACGGGCGGCTGAGTGAAGGTGCAGCCCTGGGGCTNAGGCAGCTGAGTGAAGGTGCAGCCCTGGGGCTGCCCCGGGCCAGGCTGCCAAGGAACTGGGGCAGGAAGGCGAGATGCCGAGGCCCGCTGGCCAAGGAGAGGAATTAATGGGGCTGCCCGGTTCAGATTTCAGGTCTCTCCCAGACAGATGTCACTGGGGAACCGTTGGTGTTTGCAGCAGCAGGAGGGGGCGGCAGGGGAGGGCCTTGGGGGGCCCCTCACTCTGAGAAGCTGCAACCTGCTCATTCTGTCTGGAGTGACACTGACAGTGGTGTGGGGCCCAGCCCTCTACAGTTTGCAAAGCTCTTTCCCAAACGTTTGTGCAGCCTCACTTCCCGCAGCGGCCTGGGGACTAGGCAGGGATGCGCATTCCCAAGTCAAGAGGGCCGGTGGCTCAGAGAGGCAGAGGCATAGGCCCCAGTCACCTCGAATGTTAGCAGGAGAGCGAGGCTTAGGAGCCAGGTCTGGCCCCGAGCCTCCCCCTGTGCCCCTGAGGTGGTCTGTTCCCTGGTAGATCAGGTCCACACCCAGGCCATCCCCAGATAAAGTCTTCTCTTGCTGAAACTGGACTTTCTCCCCTCTCAGCAAGAGCAGCCTTACCTTCTAGACTTGTCGTTCAAGGCCATTCCCAGCCTGGCCCAGTCTCCCATTTTATTAGCCCCCTTACGGCTGCTTATTGCCTGTCGTTTGCCAACCCCTGGTCCCATGCCAGGCTGCCCATTTCAAACCTTTCTTGTCTCCTCTTGCTGGCTGCACCAAGTTCCCCAACACAGACACACCCACAGACACCCCTTCACTCAGGGAAAGCCTACTAAATGCCACCTCCTCCAGGAAGCCTTTCCTGATGCCCAGAGGCTGTGTCTTTTTTAAAAATATACGTTTTATTGATTTTTTTTGAGAGAGAGAGGAAGGGAGAGGGAGAGAGAGATAGAAATGTCGATGAGAGAGAAACATCATCGATCGGCTGCCTCCTGCATGCCCCCTACTGGGGATTGAGCCTACAACCCAGGCATGTGCCCTGACTAGGAATTGAACCAGTGACCTTTTGATTCATGGGTCGATGCCCAACCACTGAGCCACGCCCGCTGGGCCAGGCAATTCTCTGAATACTTCCAAAATTTCTAAAAACACTCCAGAAAAAAAAAAAAAAAGATTCTCATTGAGAAGTCCTTCCTGGTGTCTAACCCAAACCCTGCTGCATTTCATTCACCAGGAGATACAGCGGGGACCTATGCCTAGGGAGCTGAGAGTCTCGTGGGGACAAACAAACACGCCAGACAGGTGTCATCACTAAGCGCCGTGGGCATCAAGATGGAAAGGACACCTCTTCCGTCTTGGTCCCTGGGGTCTGGTTGAGGTCCCTGCATGGCATGGCTGGGAGAGGAGGAGGGTGAAGGGAAGAAAGGGGCCCGTGGGGGCTACAAGTCCAGGACTCCCTCGTCCTGCGCTTTCCTGAGCCCTCCTCTGGGCGCCCCCTAGACCCTCGGTCATTAGCCAGCCCTGTTGTGACTGTGACCAGGAGCCCAGGGGCTGAGTGCATCGCCTGCAGGCGCCTGGGCCAATGGCTCATAGAACAGGCTGCAGGCTGCTTCCCGAGTCTCCGGGACCCGGAATAATGAACAGAACAGCCAGCCCTCACGCTGGGGGCCTCAGACCCCTCTCTTCCAGGGCCAGGGGCTCAGAGTTCAGCCCAGGTCCGGAACCGTTTGCCCAGGGTGGGCTTCTGGGGGAGGTAAGGTGGACTCCCCCAGGGGCCCGGGTAGGGGCTGTGCCTCCCACCTTCCCCACTGACGCCATAAGCCCACCAGAGAGCCCCTGCCAGGCCCCAGACCACACACGCCCCTTGATTTTCCCAGTCTGAGACCCCCCAGTGAGTCTGTGTCCTGCCCCAGGCTGGGCCACTCCTAGGAGATGGGGCTGGGACGGGCTCGCAGCCAGGTCTCAGCCTCCCGGCCTCTCCTGGAGGGAGACTTTCTCCTTCCTACTGGGGTACCAGGAGTATGGTCTCAGCCTGCCCAGGGGGCAGCCGTAACCCAGCCCCCTTAGATAACAGGGAAGC